AGACCTAAAATCCTGGTTCGGTCGCCTTGGTTAACCCAGGTGCTCGCCCGAAGCGCCCAACGCTTGGGCTCGGGCGAGCGCCCAGGCGACGCCTGTTTGAAGCACGTCGCTTGGGAGATTAGCGAGGCGCTCGGGCCTCGCCTCGCCTCGCCCGAGCGCCTTTTTAAATCACTAGGTTAAACTGACTTGAATAAGTCAAACCGATTCGGAATCACCTTGAATTGATCTAGACTAATCAAGTTTGGTTTAGTTCAATTAATGTTTGGGCTCAATTCAAACAATTACATAATATTGGACTATGTTAGACCGACTTATATACTGGTCATGTGCACTGCACATAATTGTACATGCACCATAGTAGGTTGGGCCAACTTTGGCCCATGGATTAGTCATATGCGTCACACATGATAGCCCATGTTAGGTTGGACTGGGTTAGCTTGCGGGCTAGGGCTTGACCCACGAGTTAAGCCTAGCCTGTGGGTTGGGCCTAGTCTGCTGAATGGGCTGTGGCTTGACTTATGGGTTGGGCCTAGTTTGTGAGCTGTTCTAACCTTATGCCTATCCAATTTCATTAATATTTAATTATAACAATATATATTTATTAACAATAATATATTAAAACATAACAGATTAAAGAATAATATTGAAAGATAAACTTCAATACATGGAAATGATATTTTAAATTTAATAAGAATTAGAAATTATTTTTTCAATAGAAATCATATTTTCAATATATATGACATGAATAATTTCAACATAATCTAATCAAATAATAAAATTCTAAATCTTAATAGGGATAAAAATTTTCAGATAATATATTATAATCTAGCAATAAAAATTTTAACCATTAAAGGATTAAGAAATATATATATATATATATATATATATATATATATATATATATATATTTTTGAACTACTAATAGTAATATTTTAATCCAGATAAAATTAAAAGGTAAACTATAATATGAGGAAATAACATGCCTAATCCAAATATGAAGAATTAAATATCATGTATTCAATACATAAAACATGCATAATTTCAGTGTATTTAAATCCAAAGAAACCTTTAAGAGGATTGAAGAATCTTTTAAAAACTTCAGATAACATATCTTAATCCAACAATAAATATTTTGACATTAAAAAGAATGATAAATATTTTCAAACTATAAAAATTTTAACATTTAAGTAATCAAAATAAAAACTTTTAATTTCAAGAAAGGTAGGAAAACCTACCTCTCGTCAGTAAAGTGTAACTCCTCGTTCCTTCCGTTGTTGGGCTCAGTTAGGTGAGGAACGAAAAAAAGAAATCCCTGTCCTTAAATAGAAGGATGTCCTTAAATAGAAGGAGGTGAGCCTCCATTGAAGGAAATTTATTTTAATTTTTATATTTTATTTAATATGAATTATTTCTATTTAATATATTAATAAATATGATATCACTCTATTTGGAATGCTTGATAGTCATTTCTTAATTCGTAATAGCAAACAAGAAAATAAGATTAATATTTCCTAAATTACAATGATAAATAAGAAAATAAAAATTAATTTCTAACTTAACTATTTGATTTTATTACATGTATAGTAGATTGTTATCTTCTAGAGGGGGTTGTTGGGAAATCTTAAGAGTGCTCTAGTGAAGGCTCAAGAGGTTGAGGATGAGACGAAAGCTCATTGTTGGATGTGTGATGGCCAACCTTCCCGCATTTAAAGCAAGATGTTGAGAAGGTTTTCGTAAGTGATAAATTGGAAGAAATGGGTGCTGCCTACATGTATCCAATACCTTGGGGAATAGGGAGAGTTATGTTTAGGACACAAACTCAGGTGACCTTGCCGCTGGAACGTGATAATTTAACTTGGTTTACCTTTAGAAATGTGCCTATCTAGGAAAGGACGTTGGGTTGGAAGAGCTCAAGGGGAGACCAAAAAACGGTAACCAAGTGGGAATAAAGTCAATCCTCTCTATAATCGACTAGAATTTTGGCTTCCAGTGGATGAGGGTTAATGGTTGTCCCCTAAAAAACCAGGGGCCTCCTAATAGGACATGGTTCCTCTCCTCCATTGTGTGAAAACTAAAGTAGAAAAATCTACTGACCAAATCCATGATAGTACAATTGGAAGCTAGGTCCCAAATCTTAGGAAGTAGGGATTTGAGAAGTTCTAGTGGGGTCTTACTAAGGAATTTGCCATAAAGGCTTGTTTGTCATTCCTTGTAACATTGGGTGACCTCGTTGACATCAAGCTCAATGCGGAGGCCAGACCGACATTAGATTCTTCCAAGCAATTCACCCATGGCGGCATTAGCCGACCTCTCTCCTGCCCCACTCATTATCTTAAAAAGGTCGAGGAGGAGGGAGGAGACTACACAAGGGCTGTAGGCCTGGGGGCTAGGGGATTGGCATGGTTGACAAGGGCTTGAGAGGAAGGTAGGGGAAACACAGTTGTAAGGGGGAGTAGGGAGGTTGGTCGCAAGAAGCTCTCTCACTGGAACACTAGAGAGAGAGAATTACGTGCTCAATTATTTTGTAATTATGTATATGTAGGTTATATCCAAGAACTGATGATATTTTTAAAAGACATTAGACGATCATGAATATGTTATCATACAAGTCTTGAACGATAATTATGTAAAAGCCTGCATACTTTCTTCAAAATTATATTTTTATGATATAATTTAAGGTTTGTTGCATTGTTTTTTTAATAAGTAAATCAAATAAAAAACTAAATATTTTGGAATAAATACTTTGTGCATCTTGGGGCATTTTTAGTTATGGATTTGATGTATATTCCTCATTTTTGTTGTTGGTTGTATTTAAGTTGATAATTAACTATAAGTCTGAATCAAATATTAATTCATTGATTTACTGAGTTCTAAGATGGATTTTGTTTTATCCTAAAAGAATTTTTTTTTTGCTTTTTCTTGACATGTGCTATGTAGAAATCATATTATGATTTTTTTTTTTTGCTTCTTTGAAATCATAGTAATATCATTAAGATTTTTTTTTAATTTCTGGTTACCATGAATACTTTTTTTTCCCTTCTCTGTCAGAATAAACAAGAAGAGAGTACTAGATATTCATTGGGGTATCATATCATATCAGCCACTGAAGATTAAACGGATGAAGATAAAGGAATACAGACTTGATACTTGTGTGCCTTCTGTTTATTTTTCCTTTTCATTGCTTAAATTGAGAACTATATTTTGTCCTTGTTTCTTTTCCAAAGTTGGTTTTCATTATTAAAAGGAAAAAATTAAAAAAAAAAAAAAAGGAGATGTCGATCCCATGTTCATATAGTTTTCTAAGCTAGCGAATAAGCTTGTCTACCTATTTGGCATTATATTAAACCCGGTATTGTTTTCTATATACCTGCTTTAATGGGATAATCATTGGATTTGTTGCACCATTTCTATACAGAGTTAATATTACCTGTCTCATATTTATATTTTTATAGACAGTTAATTTGGGCTTCCTTCTACAGGAAGAGATGATATGATAATGTTTCCAAAGCAATCATTGTCATCATTATCCAAGTTTGGAAGATTCTAAAGGAATTTTTTCCTTCTGCAACAAGTTGAGAAGATAAGTATACATGAATTCATATCACGTTCCTTAACGCAAGCAGTTGATACCACGTATCAACTTTGCATTTACTTTTCCTTTTGATTTGACTGAGTTTAGATCTTTGCTAAATCTTTGTCTTTGGAGTGCTTTCAATCTGGCAGTTTATTGATTAGGAACAAAAAGTTGATTCATAGACTAGTATCATGGCGAAGGTCCATCGTCTTATGGTGTGATCTGATGTATAAGTCTGCACCACCCGATATCACATCATTATTTCATGTAGAACATAGCCAACATCTACAGGCAGTTCCACTTGTATATTCTTACCTTTGCCTAAATGAAGCTTCCCTTGGTATGTTCTTTTTATAATGAAAATGTCTTGTCTGATTAATTTTGCATTCCCTGTCTTCCCTTTTATCCCTTAAGCTTGTTCTTGAATCAAATGCTGTCAAACATAATGTGAGGTAACTATCGGCTCTCTGTCATTGTTTTGATGGGATCTGTTGGCTTTGTTGTTTTGGCCAAACTGGTCTACCTCAACCTGTTTTCATTCTTGTCCACAAACATTCGACCTTCTTATTGAGCCCAAATTTGTGAATTAATCAGTCTTGGCATTTTGCTGATTATGCGTTTTGGCTTTTCAAGTGTCGCTGGCTCTCCGCCAGAAGACCTACCTTAGAGATGTTGATGGAGAATGGCTAAAGAATCTTCAAAGAAGATGTTGACGGAGATGGTAAAAGTCTACTTGTGGAATTTAACATGGTTAAGTGACGACACTAAAAACAACAATGATGTCCTTGATTTATTGATTTGGAGCAATATAAAAAATCATGGACATTGTTGATACTCTATGCAATCGATGATGGGCGATGTTGATGATGTTTGAATCCCAAGTTGACTCATCGAACCGGTAGAGAGACAGACGGAGATGGTCTCTTCGATTTCGGAAGCCTTAGGGTGCGATGGTCAAACCTGAACGCCAAATAAATTAACTAGAAACTGCTATCCAACTGGCATCCAACCAAGGTGATAATCTCTATCAAAACCCCATTATTTAGTCCCAAAACCATCTACTAATCAAACAAGCCTACCTTTTTTTTACCTTCCGATCCGATCCGTGCCGTGAACGTCTTATTAGTCTTTTTATTTTTAAATTCCTGCGGATAAGAAGAACCCAGGTAGGAAGGGGTGCACAGTGTTGCATCACACGGCACTCAAGTCAGTCTGACCTGACCTATTGCTGTTCTCTTTTTGGAGACCACCTCAAAATTTGATTCTTCTGATGCTCCTCAGAAACATACAACTGTGGCACACCCTTATCCCGCCAGTAGTTGCTAATGAATGATCAAAGTATCGGGTGGCAAAGACTATCGGTTACTGTCACCTGCTTCCAAGTCCACACACATTTCAACGGTGTAACGGTAGATACGAGAGTCCAGAACGAAACAAGGAGTGAACCTTTTTGCATTTTCTTTTTTTCTTGTAATTTTGCAGGTCTACATCTAACAGACATCGAAACTCTTTCCTCTACCTCATCCTCCATCTGCTTCTTTCACTGTACATATTTTTCTTGTTTTTCCTTAACAAAGGAAAAGTGAAAAAGATATTATTATATTATGAAGACCTCGAGATCAACAAGTCGACCTTCTTTTTTCTTTGTTGGATATGTTCGACAAGTGTTCTTCCCTTCGTCCATTGATTCCTTGGGATAAATGATACGTTATTCGATCTTTGTCAGTCCGATGCGATTGATATCGGTGTCGCGGACGCTCTCTGCATGCCGCACCTCATGGTGCTCCAGACCCGCCATGTAGCACTTCACCTCCTTGCAGATCATCTCTTGCATGACCGCCAGGACCTCCGCGCTTAAAGGGAAAGGCTCCGGCCGCCGCTCCTCCTCGGCGGAAGCTGCGGAGGCCGTGGTGGAGCACCGCTGCGGCTTCGGCCACGGGGTGTGATCAGAGATCGGCAGCAGTTGGAGCGGGTTCTGGTGGTTGTTGTTGTCGGTGCTTCTCTGGTGATGTGGCTCGGAGGAGGTGTCCATGTGAGCTGTTCCGGGGAGGGGGAGGGGGAGGGAGAGGGTGAGGGAGGTTACTGGATCCTCGTAGATGATGAGGGGAGTGGTGGTGTCGGTGATAGCAGCCGTGATTTGTTCCATCTGATGGGATTGGTGAGGGGAAGAGGATGGAGGCATGACGGCGCCGGTTACAGTAACCGAGTGGCTGTGATGGCCAGAATCGCTGAGATCAGAGCCCGAGGGGCTTCCAGGGTTCAAGCACATCCCTGTTCTGCCCGACAAGAGCACAGACCCGTCGCTGCTGGCCCTTTTGAGCGGCCTCGCCGCCTCCTCATGATCGATCTCCGCCCCCGCCTTGACCGCCATGATGGTGTTGTAGTAGTGCTGGAACCCGCCGTCACCGAACAGCGGCGTGCACTTGCGCTTGAGGGTGGAGTTCCAGTGGTTCTTGATGGCGTTGTCGGTGCGGCCGGAGAGGAGGCGGGCGATGGTCGCCCACTTGTTGCCGAAGCGGCGGTGGGCTCGGATGATGATTTCGTCCTCTTCCGCTGTGAAAGGCCGGTGCTCCACTTGCGGGGACAGCTGATTGCACCACCGCAGCCGGCACGACTTGCCGGACCGCCCCGGGATGGACTTGCTTATAGGCGACCAATTCCGGGGCCCATGCCGCTGCACCAGCCGCTGCAGCGCCGCGTCCTCATCCGGACTCCACGGCCCCTTTATCCTATCGACGTCTTTGCTGCTGCTGCTGCTCCCGGTTGCCGCCATCATGGAATCGACAACCTTCCCCCACATAATTCGACCGATCGGTCAGAGAGAGAGAGAGAGAGAGAGAGAGAGAGAGGACGAAGGAGAGGGCTTCGCGGTGTAGCGGGGTTTATAGAGGGCAGAGGCACAGGGGTTGGTGACTGGCTGCCGTCGGTCGGCGTGACTGGGCTAGCAGGGCGTTTAGTTGTGCGCGCCCGTCCGGTTCCTTCCGGTTCAGGCGGCTTGGCTAGGATACAGCTGGCGGTTAACACGCGTCGTCCGCTCGCCGCTCCCGTCATTTTCCTCTCTTTTCCTGATCGACGAGGTGGGCCGACGCCCACACCCCACGGCATTCGGAGGAGTGTGACGGCTGCTTCCAATAACGTCATGGGTATTTGGAAGGAGAAAAGATGGGGCGTGCGGGAAGTGGTATGAAGGTCTTGCTTCGCGTTTGGTGCGTCCCGCCGTCTTCGAGCTAAAGCAATTTTGTTATGTATAAAGAAAGGATGGTTTTGGGTCGGTCGCTTTAGTTCACTATCAATTAATTAAATAGTAGTCTGTCGTATTAGTATTGGCTTTTTCTGCGTGTACTTCGTCGCAGCCGCTGTGATTGGAAGAGGGGGGGGGGGCTCCCTGTCTCTGACTCCCATCCCACGGCCCGCGCTCGATTACTTTTCCTACACGTTTCCGTGAGCTTGTAACCGTCTAAATGAGTCAGTCTTATACGAGTGGGGAGGCGGGATTCCTTTTTCTCCTTGTGAAAAGGACTTAAATTTTCTTTCTTTTTTCCGTCCTTCAGTCGTTTAGGTAACAGTCATAACTACCCCCAGTCTAAGTGTTGCTAGGCTGGGGAAGAAAAGAACAAAAGAGGGATTATTCGAAATTTGGGGGAATCGTGTGTCTTCGGCATGCATTGGTTACGCGTCGCCAGCTGTCCTTCACCCAGGGACCCCTTGCTCTCCTCGCTGGTCTTAACTATCTCGCGCGTTACGAAGCAAGACCGAGCACGAAGGGAGTGGCTGGAGCAGCACGTGCCCGTTCAGCTTCGGTTGGCGTCGCACACGTGTAGATCGAGCATGTCTCCCGTCACAGGCGCCACCAGCCAGCCAGATGACTTGGCCCGTGCGAGAGGAGATGCCAAAATTTGCTTTCGCTCGCGAGACTCGCTTCAGCCTTGAGTGGCAGACGAAACGGTGACGGGAGCACATGGACGTCGGCATACACATTCTTCTTCTTATGCAAACAAACCGAAGGCTACGAAGTCAACCGTCACACAAGAATCATACGTGCAACCTCAGAGTGCCTCTTCGCCACCCCAGTAGTTGTTACCTTGTCACCTATATCATCATCATCATCATCATCATCATCATCATCATCATCATCTTCATCATAATATTAATAATAATAAATAAATAAATAATTTTTAATTTTTAATTTAACAGTATATGAAAGATGATAAATTATTAATTATTTAAAAAAAAAAATTTGAAAAAAATTTATATCTTTTGGGAAATCTTCACAAAGTATTATAACTTTAAAAAAATATAATTTTTTTTTATAAATATTCATTTTGCCCGGCTCGAATCCATCTCTATCATAGTCTCCCCTTTTTTTTCCTTTGTCTTCACTTTTAGCTCTCATTTGATCCATCGTCTCTGCTCTTGTGCAATAAACGATACAATAATTTTATTAGATCGTCCCAAAATGCGAGGGATGTCAACGTCGTGCTTCATTCTTCCTCATGTGAGGGTGATGAGAGTCTCGTTTGACTCTACAGAGGTAATAACAAATTGTACGAAGATAGGGATAAATTAATTTTTTTTCATATGATAAGGGTGCACAAAAAGATAATTTTTCTTTTTTAAAGAATGAGTAAGGAGACCTAAGGTCAAATTCCAAACGTCATATTCATGTCTCTTTTGTTTGCCCAATTAGAGACTTCGACTCCCGCACTGTGTGGGATACCGTCAGAGAAATCAACGCCATCGATTACGTTCGAATTGCATGATTCGTTACCACATCGTTGTTGCATGGGGAGGTACGAGGCCTCCCCCTATTGCCTGCACTCGGCCAGCGAGCAGCCTTCGAAAGAAGAATACCTACATTGGAACCTATCACTAGCTTGCCGATTACATGTTCGACATATGGTCCGTTCCATCAACCCCACCCGTCGTAGACTTCCTTGTTCTTTGGGTTGATTGCCATTATAGATAAGCAAACTATGTGGGTTGAGCCCGAGTCAATATCGTTTCGATGGCGCCTAACCTCGAGCTACGTGGTTGAGCCCGAATCAAGATGTCTTCGCCCACCTGATTGATTCAGTAATCAAAGTTTCTATCTTTGTTTCGGTGATGAAAATTGATTTTCATAATCTAGCAGTCGTCTATTTAATTTTTACACGTTATTTCTCTACATGATGTATGTATGTATAGCCTCTCATGATATCAAGGAAATACTTAGTTCATAGTCAGATTTACAGTTTTTTCCTATAAAAGCATGTCACTAACACCTTCTGTGAAGTCCTACATCTAGGAAAAGGAAACCTGTGAAACTCTATGATGAACAGAGAGAGAATTTGAAGCATCATATGATGTTTGAGCTATGCAGTTCTAAATACTAGAGAATGATCCATTGCACCATTGCATGAGGCTTCCAAACGAGTGTAGTCCTAATTGGAAGCATAAATTATATAATATGTTATTTATGTTTTGTCATTGACTTCAAATGGTGATGAGACCAGTTGTTGGTGATGAAATGATCAATTTGTCAGATCATAGATGGTTTGTGCCTGGGCTGAAAGATTCCAGGATAGGAGAGAAAATGAAGTTTCTGTGAGAGTTCACAGTGTTCTCATAAGTCGGCTGTTTTTGGACATCATTCGGGTTGGCTATTTTTGCTTGCTTGACTAAGCATAGCCACACTCCACATCCAGACTGAAGGCACCTATTTTTTGTTATTCTCTTGGTGGTGGAAAATGACCATTTATTTTCGGTGCTCATGTCTCTGCAATTCATAGTTTCACCCATATTTCAGGATCCATCCATGTGTGACAACCAAATACTGATGTTTAAGTTCAACATATGGAGAAAATTGTTGAAGAATAAAATAATTAGTGAAGGGAATTACTGATGTAAAATGGTTTAACTTCTTATGTGCACTGCATATGATGAGCATGTGGGCCATGTTGTTGTTCCCTATACACAAATTGCAATGCCCAGCATGGTTATACTTTTGTCATAGGTAGAGAGAGAGAGAGAGAGAGAGAGAGAGAGGATAGTTATCAAGGAAGGGTCAGCAAGAGGATTAGGATTTTGCAGCCAGACATCAATCACCCCATGGAGCCCACTGACTCCCAAATAACATGTATAGAAACTTAAAGCTGACAGTCTCTCTCTTGTTAAATAAATATCTGGCCACAGTTTAACTCTCTCTGTGACCTACCTACCAAATTAGTTGCTGGATGTACAACAACAGTAGGAGGAGGAGTTTGTTCAGCCTACAACTCGAGCTCTTTCATTCTCAAACTCAAAACCAATAGATCAGACCCCGTGTTTTCAAAGGGCAGTCAGGGGTTGGTGAGACCTTTGCAACATTTCAATCAAGTATTACTGCTCGGGCAAACGCTTGAGCCAAATCGAGTCGACTTTAAGCTTGGGTTTGATTGCACGAGTAAATTGGTTCGATCGAACCAAATAATATGACTTACCCTAACGCCCCAACCCCACCCACTGCTCGAGTCCGATTCGGTGAAAGATACTACAAGTGAAACTATATCACTCCGTCTGTTACTATACCTCTGTTTGCTTCGTCCATCACCTACCTTCGTCTGCATCCTCCGTCTGCCACGACACACAGCTTCATCCGCCACCCTCTCTCTCTAGTTTTGTTCGGTTTCTATTTTCCTCCATGATTGTCGGTTACTTCTTTATCTTCTTCTTAGATCTCTCTTTCACATTTTATAAGTAGTAATACTTTCAACTTCTTGTTGTACCCTATTGAGGTGGAGTTAGAATTCAAGAGTTGAAAGTTGGGGCCAACATCGCATCGATACGAAAACATGCTTAGAACATAACAATCGTTAAAAAACACTGCTTAGCAGTTAGGACTGAATCTCAAATTTCACTCCTTTTGAAAACATTGCTTAATTTAATAGTTTATATGATTTCAATTTAATATATCTATTTTTTTATTTTTATGATTTATATTATCAATCGTAATATTCGAGAGAGCATCTTGTTTCGCTCGTCTTTCGGAATCTTGATATCATCTACTACTTTCAAAAATATTGATGGGAGCCTAATGAATTATAGACTAGACTGTTACTTTTTATTAAAAAAAAAGGCTAAGCAGTTAAATTATGCAGATAAAAAAAATTTAAAGTTACTCGAGGAAGGAGGGACAGTCGTAACGCATGATTTCTTCCCGGTGTCGGTATTACTATCTGAATTTTCTGGGCTGTGATGGTATGTATTGCGGCGCCGTCTTATGATGTCAATTACTCTATTTTTTTTTTCATTTTTATGAGGATTTAGGCATGACTATCTAACTTTTGAGTTGTTGTCTCTTGAAATATTTGATGCAGTTCTTCCGTTGTCGGTCAAAACAACCTTCTTTTTGTATCCAATTGGACTCGGGGATCATAGTAAGTTCTTATGATGTCTCTTCTTTTAGTTAGTCATCTTTGTAAGTCATTCCTTTTCCGTCTTTTTCATGGCCATTGAATCTGTATGAAGTGATGATTCTCACTGGCTTCAATCCTTCCTACTGGATATATTTATTATGAGCGTATAGTTCAGCTAGAACTCTGACTGAGAGTCGCAATCGATGAATGTGCTCCGTGTCCATTCGAACGAATAGCTTGGTAGACCTCTCGTTAAATGTCAAGCAAAGAGGTAGAAAATTGATGGTCCTCGGAGATTCAGTTGTCCAGATACACAGCAGAGAGAGAGAGAGAGAGAGAGAGAGAGAGAGAGAGAGAGAGAGAGA